TTTTTAGTATCGATTTTTCCCACACTCCCAGGGTCTATGGAGATCAACTCACTCTTAGAGCCAGCATCGAGTGGCCGTTCAAAGAACTGCAGTTTTTGGCACTTCAGGCTTAATTTTCAGACCCAGAGATTGCCTCTTGTTTCAGATGCAACAAAACTCATTTATTCAAAAGAACACTTTGATTTTAAGCTTAACAACCCCAACTTAAATTGGACTATAGATAATCAATGATCAAAATAACCATTAGTGCCAGATGGTTGCAAACAAACACAAGTCAGTTGTCTCATGATGAATAAATAACAAGACATCTGCTTTCTATTCCAATTCGGTTTTATTTGGTTTTCATGTGTCGAAATATCAGAACAGGTGGTGAAACATTTAAAAACACAAAAGAATTCATCCACTGAAACTCAACAGCGTGACGCTCGGATGGTAACGACCAAATCTCATTCAAAAACTGTCCAAGTTTAACTCTTCAGCTGATCTCTTCTTTATGTTTCTGTGTCGTCTGTTCGGTTTATAAAGCACTTTAAAGCTTTGGGATGCTTTTTTTCCTTTCTTTTTTATAATGACACATCAATGAAATGAAAAGTTTTGAGAGAAAAGAAATCAGAAATATTAAAGCATTACTTTTCTCATTGGTTCTAGCCTTCAGTCTCTACAATAGCTACATCTTAGTTTTAGTTCCTACAGCGTGTCGACAGGCGGACAAAGTCTGAATTTAAACTAAAAATCAGGTTTTTATATATAATTTCACTGAACATCTGTAGAATATGGCTTGGTAATCACATGTATGGCTTATTATTAAATATGGCTATTAAGTTTAATCAGTGACTCGACCTTCAGTTGAAAACACGACACTTCTCAAATTCTACAAACATATTCACATCATTCAACTAACAAAAGAATCAGAAAAATTCAAACAATAGAAAAACAGGGAGGTAAAATGGTAATAATCATAATATTATTAGCAATAATAATAAACACTTTAAATGCTCTTCTTCACAGGTTTTCATTTTGGCAGAATTTCCTCTTCACTGCCGAACGGCGGCGATGGAAAAATAAGAATGAACTGAAAGAAGAAAGTTCTAGAAAAAGAACAGCCAACATTATTTTTATAAACATTTTCGTCTGCTTAAAATTTTTAGAAACACTCCGACCTGACAGCGACCTTGTACCTTTGACCCCGAGGACAGCAGAGAGGTGAACTACAGGAGCAGAGGGAGGACATGAGACTCCATGAGACTGGACATGACTCAACGTGGCTTGTCATGACTCGAGACTACACTTAACTCAGTAAAACTCAACAAAACTCCACATGAAGGCATGACTCGATCTGATGCGTGTCATCAATGTGACTGTGAGTCTGGCTGAAGTGACTCAATTTGACTTGTGTCTTGATGAGACACTATGGGACTCACTAATACTTGAGGAGACACAGCCAAACTGGACGTGACTTGATATGACTTGTTAATCTGCTCACAAACTCAAAACTAAGGAGGTAGTTTCAGTTAATTTTGCTTTCAATAGCTTGACACCCATTTAACGGGAACTAACTGGTAGATTTTTAACAAAAAATTTGCAAAATGATGTGAAATACAAGAGACCTTTTCTTTTAGTCCAGTCCTCCATCGACTCAGTGAGCGTTAGCGCCACACGTCAAAACGCTGTCCATTTAAAAGAAGTGACATTTTAATGTTGTGATGTGAATATTGTGCATTTTATTTTGTTTTCTATTGGCTTTGCTGACAGACCTTTAGCTGTGTTGAAACATACTGCCCACTGCCCACCTTCTGGTCTCCACTGGTTAGCTAACACTAGCCTTGGCCGTTTTGTACTGCACACCAGCAGGGTCGGATGGGAGCTAAGTTAGCTAGCAGCACCGCTCATTCTGGATTACCGCTGGTAACACTGGACAACAACATTGCTATAGAAACATAGTAGCAGCCCTCCAGGTCGTCCTGGTGAGTAAGTGGCTTCATTTTGTGCCACAAAACCCCCTTTAGCACTGTTAACTATGTTAGCACCACTAGCCATGCTAACACTGCTAACACAGCTAACAGTGATGCTAAGGGGGGTTTGTGGCTCACTCTTTGAGTCACATACTCCATGGGGTGACCTGGTGGGACACCGGAGGAGGGTGGCCACAATATTTCCATAGTAACTCTGTTGGGTCGAGACAGTGTTTCTAGCGGTAATCGCTAAATGGGCAGCACTGCTAGCTTGCTCCCACCTGACCCAGCTGGTACGCAGTGCAGTTACCTGAGTCGCAAAATTAGCCAATAAACTCACCGTAACCAGTCAAAAGTATTCTCTGTGGTTCACCGATAAACAGTTAACTGTTAATCGGTTAACGTCGCTAACCCAAACAAACAAAACTAGCAGTATTCTGATAACAAAAATAAATATTTGTCAGACTGAACATCACATTTCCTGTTAAAGTTTTTTGTCTCAAGACATCATTAGTTCACATTTCCCTCTGTTTCAGAAAAAAATATCCTAAACTGAACAGCTGAAGTTAAAGTTACTACTCCAGTTCATGTAATACTTTAAAATACTGTAAATGTAGATCTCAGCGTCTCGGGGTCTGGGGGTCTCGGGGTCTCAGGGTCACTGTCAGTATCAGAGACAGAAGCTGTAAAGACATTCAACCACAAACTGAACACACAGACTGTCTGTGGCTCAAAACACAAAGAACTGAGGTAATATTTATATTTATGGAGCTTTTGGTCAAAGTGTTTCTATCATTCAGTTATTTGGCTATTTTTTTAACTCATCCTGACACATGGAGCTCTTTATGTAATATATAATATATGAAAATATAAATTCACTTCTCCTTTTCTAACTGTTTATCTGAGGTATAAAATGTGAAAGAGAGTATTTCTTTTGGTTTTGTTTGTTCTTCGACTCTGTAAACAGAGAACAGAGTGAAAACAAACAGTTTGAACAGAAAACGGTGAAAACTATTTTTATCTTTGGGCGTCGTTCAGCTTGTTTTAAAGAATATTTGGAAGTTTGGCTGAAACTCTACAGAAAGCTGATGTTCATCTACTGGAAAGTTTAGAAGTTACTTTCAGGCATTATAAGACATATGAGGTCAATTCAAACATGGCTGACGAGGCTGCGCACACCTGCAGGCAGGTGACAGGAAGTGGCCGCCTCTGCAAAAATAAAAAAAATTAAAACTTATATTTAAAACTCAGGACAGAAAAGGGCCAGGACGTCCACACTGAGACGTCCACAGTGTCCAAACTTTCCATGTTCACCTGTTTGTCTCTCAGGTGTCAACTGACACTGAACTCCTCAATGTTTCTTCTCAGGTGGAGGTGAGACGTCTGCAGAGGAGGAGGCATCTCCATGAAGACCAGGACAGGTGCTTCTGACAGACTCTTTGTTTGCAGACCTCAGTCAGCCTGCATCAAACAATCAAACTTCTCCTCTGCAGTCAAAGGTTCATTCTCCAACATCTCCAGTGCACTTCAGGACCCAAACAGTTCAACAGATCATTTACTGGTGGAGGAGGATCTAGCTCAGGTTTCTGGACTGCTGAAGGTCAGGACAGTTTTTGGGGTACAGAAGGAAATTTAGAAGCTAACAGTTCTGCCCTGAAATATCAGATCTCATGCAAGTTATTTATCTGTGGAGGAAAAGATCTGGATCAGATTTCTTGAGGCTTGTTAGAGGTCAGAGATGTGGTTCATTGTGGGGAAGGCGAATATAGCCCTAAATATCAGACTTTGGGCAGAATAAAATTTGGAGCAGATTCCCAGACTGGGATAGATAAAGGAAGACAATGTTGTGCAAGGTATTTAACAATTGGCATAAGACTTTGGGACCTGAAACCTGAGATTTGAATCAGGTTTCTGGACTGCTGAAGGTCAGGCCTGTGGTCATGTATTTGGGCTCTTTAGAGTGATCTCTACAGCAGGTTACTCAGACTTTGGGCTACAAAGTTGTTGGACTTTAGAAACATGCAACATCCAGAAAATTTATAGACTTTATATATTCTAGAGTTCTGGAGCAGTTTTTTGGACCTTCATGGTGCCATATATACCTCCAGAGAAAGATAGTTGATTGTTAAGTCTCTTTCCCCATTCATCAAATACTGACGCTTTGGGTTGGGTAGCCCCAAAGCATCTATATTTGACGACCTGGGAATGAGACTCAACAATCAACTATTTTCCTCCAGAGTTACATACGGCATTTTTAAGAAGTAAGACATTGCCGGGATGAAAGAAGACTTTGTGCAGGTTGTTCTGCTGGAGAGGATAAGATATTAAAGCACAGGACTATAGACTGTCATTGCGTTTCAGAAACCCAACTACTTTTAAACCTTTAAAGCTCAGATCTGGAGCAGGTGTTTGGACCTTCAAACCTCGGACATGGCTGACATTAAGACTTTGTGCATGTTGGTATTCTGCTACAGAGGATAAGATCCAAGGAAGGTGTTGAAAGTCAGGACTATGGTCCATATCCAGAGGATTTTTATACGCTGAACTCTCAGATCTGGAGCAGATTTTGCGCCTCAGAAGGTATGATCATTGTGGAGGTTACTGAATCTTTTTTAATTTAAGATCAAAGACAGAGTTTTGTCTAATGTAGAAGTTCAAATCTGAATCAGGTTTTTGGGCCCTGGAAGCAGCACTGGAGGAAGTTCTTGGAGTCAGGAAGCAAAGCGTCAGTCATGAGTCACAATCAAAGATAGCTGAGATCTTCTGTGGTTTCCCTCCGCCATCTTGTCTTTGAGGAAGACAACAATGGACCAATCCATCGTTGGAGGGTTCGTGCGAGCAACATTCAGAGTTCAAAGGGCTTCTGGGTGACGGTCCAGCACAGGACATCGGCATTGGTACATAAAGGTAGAAAAATGGCAAAGTGGCCCCAGAGGAGGCTTTTGGTTAAGAGGTAGGTTAGCTTGACCAGCAACAGGAGGCTAACAGTCGCCTGTAGCTCAGGCGTTTGGCGTTGAGCCCGAGGTAGCTCTCTTTGGAGGTAAAGAGTTTGGTGGAGGTGTTACAGGAGGGAGGGAGGGACGGAAGGGGGAGAACAACCAGCGGACTGTGGGCTTCCTCTACATCCTGATCTGAGGCGAACTCGGTGAGACAAACAAACATTAAAAGGCTAAAGCATCGCAGAGGGGAGTCCTCTACAGTCACCTGCTGACCAGAGAAATAATACATCCCTTTGGCTCTGGGCCTCAGAGGACCAGCGAGTGACACCTACTCAGGTGAACCCACCCGCAGTGGATCCTCCAAGGACCCTGTCTCTGGTCAGACCGGTGGAAGGCCTCATCGTCTCAGAAAACTTGGCACCGATGGTGACAAACTCAAAATGACCCCGAACTGAAGAAAAAAGGTTTTGGTTTCAACAGGAAGCATCTAGGAAGCCACAACAGTGACATCAGCATCTGATACCACACAGGAAACAGCCAGAGTCATGTGACCTCCGACTTCAAGTTACTGACAAATTCTGGAATCAGAATTCAGCTTTGGTTTCAGTCTGAAGACGAAATTATCATGAATTGAATTCAAAGTAGTGGACATCTGTGGAGTATTTCATGGCGCTGTAAAGAATCTTGTGATCTTGTGAAGTATTTCATGGTACTGTGAGGTATCTCGGGGTGCTGCGAAGTATTTTGTTCCCCTGTGGTATCAGATGCTCTCTGGATGCTCCTTAGACAGACTCATCATCTCTCATCTCAATATTCTCAAAGATAAACTCTACTCTCAGTCATTCATAAAGGCTGAAGTGGCTGTAAGGCTGTCAGGAGGAGAGGAGGCGCCCACAGGCTGGAGCTCAGGAGGAAGAGGAGGAGGAGGAAGGTGAGGAGGAGAGAGTGTATTTTTTTATCCGGTGCCTGTGCCTGTGCCGGGTTGGACGGGTGGAGTTTGTTCAACCATGACCATCACTGGGGGAGGGGTGGAGTCACATCTCTGTGGATGGAGCAGACAGGGACACTGTTAGATTAGACTGTTAGGGACTAAACTACCAGAATAAGAGCCCTGTCGCCGCTGATGTAGCGTCAATTTCGTCAATGAAAACTATGAAAAAGTATTTGTTAGAGAAAAAGACAAGACTGGCTGACTGTCATGAAAAGTAAATAATTGAATAGAAAATGAAAACTATAACAAAATGTATTGAAAATTTACATAAAAATAAAATCATATATTAATGTTATTGTCTATTCATAGTCAGTTCTAAGGAATGACAGCAGGTTTAATGTCTCCACACAAAGAAGTATCTTGTGTTAATCTGATGTGACGTTTTACTGGCTCTCAACAGTGAACAGTATTTCAGTGAATCAACAGTTCGAACAGCGAATTGAGGAGAAATATGTCAGATAAACACCTGTAACCACAGTAACTGGACACATCAAAGATGGCAGCTGTAGCCTCACAGTGATCGGAGGATGTAAAAGTTAAAAATGCTCAAATGAGACAGAACTTCACTGATAGAAACTAAAACAAACAATAATCAAATGAAATGAAGAGGCTGTTACAGAATCAGCTGAAAGAACTGGTTTAACTGGTTTAATGAAAGCGGGAGATTTACAGGAAGACTAACTGAAAACTCTTGTCATCATGGCAACAGTGTGGTTGCCATGGATACCTGTACTGATGGTGGCAGGTGACAGATCCTAACAAAGGGAGGTGTTATCTCCTGTGTCACTTTAACAACCCTCATTATAACTAACACCTCTGAGTGTGTGTGTGTGTGTGTGTGTGTGTGTGTGTGTGTGTGTGTTACCTGGTTCAGCTCGATGTTCTCAGGTGTGTGCCCTTTAGCACCTCTGACATCATTCAGGGTGCGTGGAGTCTCCCAGCTCGCTGACTTCCTGCAGAAGAAACTGAACCCAGAACAGAGTGAGGATGATGACATCATCAGGCAGGGCTGCGTCGACAACTTGGTACAGATACAGATAATGTACTTGCTCTGAGTTTGAGTATCATACGAGAAGGATGTGTCATTATCTGTACTCCCGATGAAGGAAAATCCACATTTGGGTAGCTGTGTTACTCTTTGGCTATCTGTTACTCTTGTGATAAAAAATGATCTGAAGCTCAATTCTGAGGCCGTTCTGTGAATACTTTTCTCATAGTAAATATCGCAACTTCTGATCATCCATATAAATTTCAGGCTTAAAAAAAAAAAGTCTGAATAGGCCCCGCCCACTTCTGGTATGAACTCCACCCATTCCAAGTACAGATACAGATAATTTAGTTGGTTGAACAGATACAGACATAGATACAGATAATGGTGTACTTGCTCATCCTGATTATCAAGTAATGATGATGATGATGATGATGATGATGAAGAGGGTCTTACCTGCGTCTGTATCCCAACAGGACAAGGAGCAGGCAGCAGAGGATGCAGGCGAGGCCGCTGTGCACGCCGACCAGCAGAGTGGACACGGAGCCGTGAGACTGATCGCAGTTACAGCTGGGACCATCTGACGGACACACAGAGACATCGTGTTAAACTGGTTCCACTGGTTTCACAGGTGAAAGAGAGGTCAGAGGTCATGTTGAGGCTCCTACCTGCTGCAGTGTTTCCTCCCTCAGCCAGAGACACGAGGCGGCGGTTGGACGGACCGTCTCCGTTCCCGTTAAACGCCACCAGCTGGATCTCATAAACTGCTGCCGGTTCTGTAGGACAGAAACAAACAGTTAGATATCCGTAGTAGTAGTAGTCTCCACTGAACTAAACCAGCTGACGACAGGACGGACTGCTGACTCGCTGATTAGATAACTAACTAGCTGGCTAACATTAGCTGTGGCCTGGTAACAGTACATAAACAGGTGTACTGTCCCTTTAAGAGGACTCACCCAGGTGGGAGATGGTGTGGGTGTTGATGTGTCCTGGGAATGTCTCCTGTCCATGGACGTCTGGGTTGGAGACCCCGCGGTACTCCAGTCTGAAGCCCTCCAGCTTCCCCGGCTTACTGGGCAGCTCCCAGTACACCTGCATGGCCGTCTGGTTCAAGACCTTAGTGAAGAAACTGGGAGAACTGGGAACTGTGGGACAGACAGAGACAGACTGTGGTTACATAGTGGACAAACATTTAAGGTGGACAGTATGAAAGTGTTTAAGGTGGACGTACCGCCCCCCTGTGTGGTGGCAGTGATGGTGCTGGACTGCTGACTTCCTCCCAGGGCGGAGTACGCCTTCAGGTAGATGGAGTAGGTGGTGGCAGGTTCCAGGTTGTTGAAGTCGTGACTGAAGGTGGTCTTACTGACGGCCTCCTGCAGCTCTGCACTGTCCGGCTCTGAGGAGGTCAGAGGTCAAAGGTCAGAGGGATCAACAAACACAGGTCAGAGTGGAACCTGATCTCCGGTCAGTCCCTTACCTCCCAGTCTTCTGATGTGCAGGACGTATCCTATAATCTGCTGGCTGACGCGCTCTGACGGCTGCTCCCAGATCAGCTGCAGGCTGCTGGAGCTGAGGGCCGAGGCGCGGAGGCCAGTGGGGGCCTCGGGCAGCTCGGGCCCCTGGCTGATGGCGAGGCGGGCGCTGGCCTGGTTGGTGCCGGCGCTGTTCTCTGCGATGCACTGATAGATGGCCTCGTCCTCGGGGGTGATCCGGGTAATGGCCAGAGTCCTGAGGGGGGACAGAGAGCGTCAGTGAAACTGGTCTCTAGTCCAGTATGATACTGGTCTGTATCCAGTTTGATACTGGCCTCTAGTCCAGTATGATACTGGCCTCTAGTCCGGTATGATACTGGTCTCTAGTCCAGTATGATACTGGTCTCTATCCAGTTTTATACTAGTCTCCAGTCCAGTATGATACTGGTCTCTATCCAGTTTTATACTAGTCTCTAGTCCAGTTGGATACTGGTCTCAAGTCCGGTATGATACTGGTCTCTATCCAGATTGATACTGGTCTCTAGTCCAGTATGATACTAGTCTCTGTCCAGATTGATACTGGTCTCTATCCAGTATGATACTAGTCTCTAGTCCAGTATGATACTGGTCTCTATCCAGATTGATACTAGTCTCTAGTCCAGTTGGATACTGGTCTCAAGTCCTGTATTATACTGGTCTTTAGTCCAGTTTGATACTAGTCTCAAGTCCGGTATGATATTGGTCTCTAATCAAGTATGATACTGGTCTCAAGTCTGTTATGATACTGGTGTCTAGTCCAGTGTGATACTGGTCTAAGGTCCTGTATGATACTGGTCTATACTGGCGGTGTGTCACATACATGTCTTCACCTCCTCATTACAGACTCCTGTTTGTTCAAACTCTCTGAACTTTATGTATTAGTGTCAAAGAAGAGGAGTAAGAGTGTGTCTTCCTCTCCCTCCTCCTCCTCCTCCTCTCTGACTGATCAGCTGGTTATTTAATTCTTACGTGTTTCCGTTGGTGAGTTTGACGTTGCCGCTGGGTGTCAGCAGTTTGCCGTTCTTCAGCCAGATGAGGTGCGGCTCCGGCGCGCCGGTCGCCGTGCAGCTGAAGACAGCGCTGCCCCCTGATGGTCTGGAGACAGACTGAGGCCACTGCACGAACTCTGGAGGAGCTGCAGACACAGGAGGAAGAGGAGGACAGTTAATACCATCATCATCATCATCATCATCAATAGTCACCTCTTCTCCTCTGTGTCAAACAAACTGATGGTTTCATTTTCACTGGAACACATCACCAATTATCTATAAGTCAATTCTGGTACCTGACCCACTGACAGCTTTATTCGGCCTCCCTCCAGATCAGGACGTGACAGCTACAGTACGACACGTCATTGCTTTAACTACTCTGCTAGCCAGACGCTCCGTCCTTCTTAAATGGAAACATGCTTCTCCCCCAGTGCACGACTGATGAATACAGGAAGTCTTGAAATGCGCTGAACTGGGAAAGTTCAGATTCTCACTGAAGGGATCCTTAAATTCTTTACACAAGACCTGGAGTCCCCTGTTAACCTTTATCAGTGACCTCACTATTACTCCTACACTTCGTGCCTCATTTTATATATTTCACTTACTATTTAAAAAACTCTTATATAAAACAAAATGAGCGCTGACAATGCAACATTTTTTCACATCTTCTTTTCTTAACAAGTTTCATTAACAACATGAGTAATTTAAAACGATTTTGATTATTTAAAACTAAGGGTTTCATAAACTCAACATCTCATGGATCTTCAGTTGAGCCAATCAAGATGCAGCAGCAGTGGTCCCAGTACCATCACTGGTATGAACAGTGGTAGTACTGGTGGAGTCCAGCAGAGGGCAGCAGAGCTCTGATTCACAGGAACAGACCAGCTGCTGCTGATGTTCAGTCTCTGCAACATCTTTTCTACAGTCGTAATTATATTGAGCTTTTTTTTGGGACAGAACTCATGATTGGTTTGTTACAAAGAACATAATACCTGTTCATTAACACTATATTGTTAATTTGGGTGGATTTTTGCAAAACTTTAATTATATTTTGATTATAGGTAAAATTTTATGCCCATATGCAGATTTTTTTTAAAGCTTTTTCAAGTTTGAAAATCTTCTTTCAATCCTTCAAAAAACCGAAAAAGAGAAGTGTCTAAGATTCTCTGAATTACTTGAGTTATATATTAATTAAACTTCCTTAATTCAATTGTAGTTTTTTTTTTTTACATATAAATTTAGGAATTTATTAGTTTTATAAAAATTTGTTTGGTTTCTTCCTTTTATCCCAGTCATTTCTTTTTTCACATCATGCTGCTTGGAATTATTATTTGACGTGTTACAGAATGATAATAACTTTGTTATCTGAAGATAAAAAATATATATACTGCTAAGATTTAAATGTAAAAACATATGTTGCATCAAATTTATTATATATTTATAAAAAGAAATGTTGTGCGGTGAGTTCACTGGTTGCTAAATTACTTAAGAAAAATAAAAATCCAGATTTTTTCCAGCAAACTCTTTAGATGTTTCTTATTATTTCTTGTATATTATTTAATATTAATAGTTTGACACTGAAATTCAAAGTAATTTAACGACAGTGAGGAGAAACTCTTCTTCTTCTTCATGTTCCCACAGTGGAGCTGAACACAGACAACATTATTTATCAGCAGAAGAAGAAGAAGAATCTCTGGACTTTGCATGACAAACACGTTTCAGTCTGAACTTGAACGTGTCTTTGTGTTTGAACACCACTTTGACCTCTGAACCCCCCTCACCCTCCAACCCCCACCCTGCAGCAGACAGACAGGTGCTGTCTCGCCTCCGGCCGGTCCGTCTCCACGGTAACAGAGAGACCGTACACACACACATGTGTCTCTGTCACCCTAAATAACCTATTGAAGCACCGCCCACTTCTACTCTACATACTGAGGGGTGGGGGTCAGAGGTCACAGAGAGGAGGGGGGTGTTTCATTAACAGATAAAGTCGATTTGTGGAAAGACGACGACCTTTCACACACTCTGCAACTCAAGTTCAAGAGCAAAACACACACACACACACACACACACACACACACTGAAAACAAACCTAACAAATAATTTCTGTTTTAAAGGTTTTAGTATTTAGATATTTTACTGAAGTATAAAAACTCTGTGACAAGTAGAAGTAGTTTTATTTAACTGAAGGCCAAACAGACATATGAAGAATAAAGTTTCATTAATATGTTCAGAATATTTTTGCACCAAACTACACGATTATTTCTGGAAATGATTAAAATCTCTTTTATTCTTCAATTGCTTATTGATTATTTGTGACTTTAATGAATAATGTGTAATTAATTAAAGTTAACTAAGTGTAAATCGTTTCTATTTTTGTTTTCCATAAAGCTTTAATCGAGCTACAGATATGCAAAATAAAAATAAACCTTGTATCCTCAGGCATCAAACTGAATATCGATCAGTGCACCTGTCAGAGGTGAGACCAGGTCATTGTTTTGCAACTCCCAGGTAGGTTTCAAGTCTTTGCACTCATGTCCCAGGTCCTAATGTTTGAAGTCACCAAATGTAGTAACATTTTAACAACCTATATTAAAATATTAAATGAACAAAAATACATGCTTCTTACTTTTTTATTTTTGTAAAAACGCGTTTGCTGTTACTGACTTTTATCATAAAACAGCCGTGCTGACGCTGGACTTTTATGGCATGAAGCACTTTTAACCACAACAGAATGAATTTTGTGTGTTTCTGTCTCGTCGTGTCGTATTTAAATCATCTCATATTGGAAAATGTTTTTAACTAAGACATTTTTTGATAGACTATTCTTTCTTTAAAGTTGTTGTTTTATATCTAAATCAGTCGGCTGCGGGTCACGACTGACTTTGAACATGCCTGCCTGAGAATGAGCCATTTATATCTACACAGGGAGCAGGTCCTTGTCCACAGAGATCGCCATGTTGCACCATTACAGTAGCTCACAATGCATAAACCGAGCACTGACTCTAGATAGGGACATTCACATTTATGCATCAGCCGCTGTAGTTAGTAGCCCCTCCTCAATGAGCAGGGTCAAAAAAAGACAGTGATTTTTAACATGAAACTGTTTTTTCAGAGTTTTTAACAGATTAAATCACCTGGTCTGTTTGTTTTAGAGAAGATGAGACCTCAGTGGATAATTCAGCTTTGGTAAAAGTCTCCTGAACATCTGGATCTTAAGTTATTAGAGAGGTGCTGGGCTAACGGCCTGTCTCCAAGAGGCTAAACAGTGTTAGAAAAACACTGATATTTTAAACGTTAAACTGCTTTATTCAGTGTTTTTACTGGTTTAAATCAGCTGGTCTGTTTGTTTTGGAGAGGAAGAGACCTTTGTGGATGATTCAGCTCATGATATAAACCTCCTGAACGATGAACACTTGGCGACATTCTCACCAAATAGAAGTTTAAGCTGGTTGCAGTCTGCAATTCTCACTAAATCCACTAAATCGCTCCCTAAATCTTACGCACTGTTCCTTTAAAAGAATGCACATAATTTTGCCTTTTTCATTAGTTCTTCAAATCCTGATGACATTTCAGTGTTTTGGTATTAAAGGAACATGTTTCTAACTCTAACCCTGAATTTAGGAAACAATCATATCTTACCTTAGGACAGGAACTTAGCGATTTCAGAACTGTCCTAACTTTGTCTATATGGCACTGATGATGAGGACAGGACACAACATTAACACCAAATTACAATGATGAAAGGCTGCTCAAACCATATGATGTCACTTTAAACATTTTCCTGGACCATGCACTGTATTATGTACATATAGATCGACTGCCAAGACAATTAACTCTGATTTTGGTCGCTGTGATGCCTCTGGCTCTCTCAGGCCCACAGGAGGCACAGTTATATTAAGGATTTCTTAAGTTAAGATAAGACAGGAGGTCTGAGATTGTATAGGACACAGACAGGAGTTTATAAATAGCTTCTGAGATCAGATTTTTCCAGGACGAGCATTTAGTATATTCCTCTGTAACGAGGCGGCAGCAGGTTCCTCTGATTTTAAATATTTATATTAGTGACAGACGGAGTTTCAGACTGAATAAAGTCCTCATTGTGAAGTGGAACTCTTCACATGCTAATAATTATTCTAATGAAGCTCTCAGTGTGGGAAACACACTCACACACACGCGCAGACACACACACAATGAGCCTACGTGACCTCCGACCCCCCCACCCCCCCTCCGTCACCTCCTCTGTCTGCAGCAGCAGGACACGAAACAAACGCACCCACAAACAGCTCTTGTTTACGTGCTGCTGAAAACATCAGTAAAATATCAAATAATATTAATTATGATGATCAGTTAGTGTTTCAGTCTTTGTTCATCCTCTGCGGTCTGTTTCCTGTTTCCTGTTTCCTTTCACAATAAAGTGTCTCTCTTCAGGTCCAAAACAAAACATGTGAAAACATTTTTAAACCATGTGAATTATCTCATCTTAAAAAATCCAGATCAGGGTTTAAATTCAGGGGTCCTAAAGAGTCCTGGAGAGTCCTGGACCCCCAGCGGAGAGCTGAACCTGAACCTGAACCTGAACCTCAGCAGGAGGAGGAGGAGGAGGAGGAGGAGGAGGAGGAGGAGGAGGAGGAAAGGGGAAAGGAGGAGGAGGAGGATAATTTCCTGCTGCAGGCTGCTGTGATGGAGGTCAGAGGTCAGAGGGGATTGTTCACTGAATCTAATGATTTCAGCTTTGAGTCCTGTCAGACTCGCTGCTGCTGATCTCAGCTGGACACAGAACAACCGCACGTTTTATAATGTTCCTAAAGGTTTGTTCATGTTTCTGAAGGTTCTTAAAGGATCCTAAGTGTTTGCAGATATTTGTTAATGTCACCATTTTTTCCCTTAAAGATTTTTTTGGGAGGGAGTTTTTCCATATCCTCTGTGAGGGTCCAAAGGACAGAGAGATGTTGTGTGCTGTAAAACCTCTGAGGCAGACTGTGAATTGTGATATTGAGCTTTATAAATAAAACTGAATTGAATTAAAGGCTTTATAATGTTCCTAAAGGTTTGTTCATGTTTCTGAAGTTTCCTAAAGGATCCTAAATGTTTGCAGATGTTCATTAATGTCTCTAAAGGCTTTTAAATGTTCCTTAAGGTTCCTAAAAATGTCTTAAAGTTTGTTTATGTTTCTGAGGGTTCTCAAAGGATCTTAAATATTTGCAGATGTTTGTTAATGTCTCTAAAGGCTTTTAAATGTTCCTAACGGTTCTTGAATGCATTGTTCCAATTTTTAAAGCTTCCTACATTTTTGTAAATATTCCTAAATGTTCTTAAAGGTTCGAGAAAAGTTCTAGAATATTTGAAAAGGTGTTTTGTCCATTTCATCTCTGCATAAATCAACTTTATCACTTAATGTTTTCACCAGAAATAAAATAATAAACTGGAACATAAATAATATTTCTGAAGTGTTTTATGAGTCAAGAACTGAGAGATGCTTCAAACCTGCTGACAAACACAACGACTGCAGCTTATAATGATAATAATAATAATAATAATTAGTAGTAGTTATAGTATTGTTGTTGTTATTATTGTTGTTTTTGTTGTTGTTATCATCAGTAGCAGTAGTGTTTCCTCTCTTTGTCCTGACAGGAGCTGACAGCCTTTGTCTTCTAACCTCCCCCACAGATGTGGTTTACTGAGGGTTCAGAGGTCAGAGGTCAGAGGTCGGGGGGGTGAAGAGCAGCAGACTGAGCTGAATGTGATGTTTGACACACACCCACTCGATGTGATGAGTTCAAGTTCATCAGTCAAACAGAGTCAGCTGCTGTTTCCACAATGAGAGCTGATCAGCTGATGATACATATTTATATTTAATATGACTGGACCCATAAATACTTTGAGAACATGTGACTCATGAGCAGTGAACGTGCTCGTTTAAATAAAGGTTCAGTATTCAAATGGAGAGGGTGACATCATCGGAATGATGATAAAAATGATTTAAAGCTGATTTTTAAACTCTAAAAAATCTGTTGTCTGTTTGTGCAGTGTCTTATGTAGGTGTGAGGAGTGCTGGGAGAGTTTCACATGTTAAAGCTCCAAAAAACAACTGTATTCATTGAAATGTGTCCATGAAACCACTCGTGTGTTTCTGCTGAAAGGCTCAGCTCTAACATCATTATGTTATCATGTTGTATGATTACTACGACACTGCACCTGAGATCTTATACCCCATTCTGTAATATATTGTACTATATCATATTCCAATTGTGTTAATGTCGTACTGTCTAATCACATCATATATTATATTAAATGATATTATATTATATAACACAGGCAGCTGTACTAGACGCCCAGGATTTGCTCAGAACTTAGTAAAACAGCTTTCTCCTATTTTGCACCATGATCATAAAATAACCTTCAGATCACACTACAGCTTCATTATTTTGTCTCCTTGTGAGTATGTAACCTAACAGTGCAACTGCTTTTCCTAAACTGGATTTTGTATCATGTCATGTATCTGTTGTTCTGGGGTGTTTTTTTCTTTTGTTTTGTTTTTGGGTTTTTTTGGGCATTTGATCGCTTTTGTAACCTTGTAACGGCGTGGTCAGGTCTCTGTTGAAAAGAGATTTAATCTTAAGGGACTTCCTGGTTAAATAAAGGTTAAATAAATGCATAAATAAATAAAAGCTTTTAGTTCTCCTCTTACACCAGTTGTGCATACCTTGTGGGAAATGTTTATTCACTTTGTAATTAAACTGAGTGTATCAATAAAGTGTATAAGCAGAATTAATAAACAGATGATCATGGTTAAAAACATATGTTCTGTAAGCCTAGAAGAAGAGCAAACCATAATGGTGTATGCCTTCTGCAATCTGAACTCAAGTAGGTGTGTATCTGCAAACTGTATTCCTGTGAGGTCATCATGCCCAGAGGGCCAGAAAACAATCGTGTCAGGTTGATACCTGGAGTGTGTGCTGAAACTCATAAATGATGGTGTAAGGAGAAGTGATCAGAGGGCAGAATGACAGGGCGGCACTGCCAGCTCAGGTGAACAGAACTGAGTGGATGTGATATTAACAGTTAGTATGTTCCCAGGACCAGCTCATGTTTTTGTATATAACCTTTGAAGATTCACAGTTAATTTATTTTAGTTTGAACTCTGACTCACTGGTATTAATTGGAAAAGTAACCAGTGTGGGTGAAGATCTAATGCAACTGGCCTGAGAAAAATATTCTCTTCTCTTCTTATTATTTCTCTGTTCTTAGTATCTGTGCTTATTTCTGTCTTTGTGTTGCTGCAACACCTACATTCCCTCTCTGAGGATCAATAATGGGGATCAATTATCTTAATGTACACATATATATAAATATACAGTGACAGACATGCAGTATCATGACATACCTTGGACTACGAGGCGTCCCAGTGCCGTTCTTCTGGATCTACTTCCTGGTCTGTTTGCTGAACAAACATAAACTCCTGAATGCTGCAGCGTGGCGTCAGAGATCATCAGGTTTCCTGTCCCCAACACCTGGATCCCCTCCACGCCGATGGACCGCCCGTCTGACACACACACAGAGCATTGTGTTACCATGGTTACCACTCTAAACCAATCACAGATCAATAACTGAAAGCTAAAAGGTGACTACCGAGGCGACTCCAGGACACGATGGGGCGGGGGTTTCCCGTGGCGATGCACTCCAGGATGGCGGTCTGGTGGACGTTGATGGTTAGGTTCTGGGGACCGGACAGGATGACGGGTTCTCTGTAGATCCTGGATCCTGCAACTGGACCAGAAGCACAAAACGTCATAAGAGAGAGGGACAGGTGAAGGGTCGACAGGTAGAACATGCTCTCTGTGGGCTCTCTGTGCCCTCAGTTTGGTCTTTCTTTGCCCTCAGTTTGGTCTTTCTCTTTATCTCACATTAGTCTCTGGGTCTGGTCTTAAACTGTGGTTTTCTTTGCCCTCAGTTTGGTCTTTCTTTGCCCTCAGTTTGGTCTTGAGTTTGGTCTTTAACTGTGGTTTTCTTCGCCCTCAGACTGGCCTTTCTTTGCCCTCAGTTTGGTCTTTCTTTGCCCTCAGTTTGGTCTGTCTTTGCCCTCAGTTTGGTCTTTCTTTGCCCTCAGTTTGGTCTGTCTTTGCCCTCAGTTTGGTCTGTCTTTGCCCTCAGTTTGGTCTTTCTTTGCCCTCAGTTTGGTCTTGAGTTTGGTCTTTAACTGTGGTTTTCTTTGCCCTCAGACTGGCCTTTCTTTGCCCTCAGTTTGGTCTTTCTTTGCCCTCAGTTTGGTCTGTCTTTGCCCTCAGTTTGGTCTTTCTTTGCCCTCAGTTTGGTCTGTCTTTGCCCTCAGTTTGGTCTGTCTTTGCCCTCAGTTTGGTCTTTCTTTGCCCTCAGTTTGGTCTGGAGTTTGGTCTTTAACTGTGGTTTTCTTCGCCCTCAGGCTGGCCTTTCTTTGCCCTCAGTTTGGTCTGTCTTTGGGGCTCAGTTTCATCTTTCTGTGCCCTCAGTTTGGTCTTTCTTTTCTCTTGCTTTGGTCCTTGAATTTTGGTTTTTCACTTTGGTCTTTCTTTGCCCTCAGTTTGGACTTTCTTTGGCCTGAGTTTGATCTTACCGGTGACAGACAGCTGGGCCTCATGGCTGTATCGAGTGTTGGCGATGTTGGTGGCAACACAGCGAAACAAACCGCTGTCTGTTCGCCGAACGCCGGTGATCTGCAGCACGCCGTTAGGCAGCAGAGTGTACCTGAAGCACAAATACACATTAAATATACATTAGATACTTATTAAATATATGTAAAATACTCATCATGTGAGTTTACGTTAAAGACACGTTGAGCATACCTGGGGTCGTCGGTGCTTAGTGGGCTCCGGTCCTTCTGCCAGGTGATGTTGGCTTCTGGGATTCCATTTACCTGACAGGTGAGTCTGGCCACGCCCCCTTCATCGACTGCCACAGACTCTGGGTGAGACAGGAACTTAGGGAGGGCTGGGGGAGGACAGAGGAGGAGGGGGGAAACACGCTGATCAATACATGCTATGTGTTCGGCTGTGTTAATGTTCTCTGTATGTTGTCAGTATGTTCTGGTCCGTAGAGGTCATGTGACTCACATGCGATCTGGACCCGGGCCTTGCGGCTGATCAGCATGCCATAGCGGTTCTGAGCAGCACAGTCGTATTCGCCAGCGTCTGTCTCGTTGCTCTCCCGTCTCTTGGAGAAGTTCCTGATGAGTAGCGTGCCATTGGCGAGCACGGTCGCCTTGACACCAATCGGCACGGGGACACCATTCCGTCTCCATGTGATGGAGATCGGCCCCTCACCCTCCACCTGACAGTCCAGCATCAGGGGGCGGTCCCTCGCTGCGATGACATCACTGGGCTCTTTGAGGAACGCCAGCTCTGAGGCTCCACTCACACCTGAGAGGAGGAAACGACACAGTCAGTTTCCTGTCACACCTCGGTGACAGAATTCAATTCAGTGAAACTTAGTTAGTCGTGGAAGAGAAACAGACAGCTGGGTCACACAGGTGAGTTCAGGTGCTTCAGAAACTGACCAGCAAACAGCAAATTAAAAAAGAGTTCAGTGATTCTGCTGAGAGTCAACAGGAAATACTCACTGACAGACAGAGGATGACGATGATGATGATGATGATGATGATGGTGATGATGAAGCTGTTGGTGATCAGTGAGACAAATAATTCATGGTTAAAAATATGAACATCACAAGACAGAGAATGACAGAAGGTTCAGGTGACCTCTATTTCCACAGGACTGATCATCATTTAGTTTATCGTCTCTTTATAGATTATATATTAGTATATATTTATTTTTACGTTTCCTTTTTGAACAGATTCTGGTTCTCAGGAGTCTCAGGACTCATGGGAGATGTAGTTGTATGAGGCTGAAGGGTTAATAGAGAAACACTAAACTCTCAGAGCTCATTTAAAAGTTTGTATTTTCTGATCAATGTTTGTTATTAATGTTAAAATCATTCCTTCTTAAGATGAAATGAAACACTTCTGGTGACAGTTAGACAGAAGAACAAAACATGTGTAGTCTGTAACCAGTCGATCTGATCAATCTGTCCAGATAATTGTTTCTATAAAACTTCTGATTAACGTTCCTTCAATGTTTCCCTTCCTCATGGACTCACAGGAAATATTCAAACAAGTCAAAACTGAGGGAAAACTTACAACTCAGACTCAGGTAAACAACATGTTTCTGTAAAAAGGAACAAACTGATTAAGACTTCATAAGGAGTCAGGACCAAACTGTCCACCTCCAGCTGATTAAAGATGAAATGAGTGAATCAAACAACACAAGGCAGCTTGATTGTTATTAGAAGTGTCTTACAACATTAGTGAATCATTTTCTCCACACTTTCAGCTTGTTCTGTTCTGTTTTGTGTCCTGGTTGCTCGATTTTAAAACATTGCACACTCACAAAACGAGGCCTGAAAGAAGCGTGCACCACTTCCCACACAGAAGCTGTCCTCTATAAAAACAGATGGGGGAAACTTTGAGCCATGCTAACCAACATTTTGGAGACGGGAAATTGGCGACGCAGATGGTGAGGTGGAAGCCTGATTGTAGAAATCGTCAAATACGTTTTGGACAATGCCATTTTGGCTTTTGTCCGTACGTACATTTTTAGTGTGGATCCTCACAAGAGGTGATTTGTTGCAGGAAGTAAATGATGGAAACTTGAAAGAGAGCTGGAGAGAGGAGTGTTGGTAATAGTTTGTTGTGTTGGAGAACAGAAAGCAGATCGTACTATGTCCTAAGAAAAAGTCGGTGAGATTTCAGAATGAGACTTCTCCTTTAGTGAAACTTGGACACAGAACAGAACAGAGCAAGTAGAACCAACAGAAAAAGTTTTCATCTCTCAGTAGGGTCATTTCTGTGATGCTGTCAGACACTTCTGATAACAACCTGAGCCCGTCAGTGACAAAACAAACACTGTAAATGGATTTAAACTGACAGAGTGCACCTGCCCCAAAGTTCTGGTTACACTGCAGCCTGTTTTGCTGCTGCGCTCTCTCTCAGTACCGGACTAGTCTAAAAATCTGTTGTTCCCATGAGTCACTTTGAAAAATACTGAAGTTACCCTTTCATGATACAATATTTATTCCTGCAGCCTTTTCACTCTGCATCATTTATATCTGCACATATTAGTCAAATGTTTCTGTTTAACTTCTTCAGCTTGTTTGTCCTTGTTTTAAGCTGAATGTCTGATCTGTGTTAGTAAACTGACAGCAACACAAACTGCAGTCAGATTTCATGTACAATCAGGTCCATAATTATTTGGACAATGATACAGTTGTCGTCATTTTGGCTCTGTACACCACCACAATGGCTTTTAAATGAAACAATGAATACCTGCTTAAAGTGCAGACTCTCAGCTTTCATTTAAGGTTTTTTTCAAAAATGTAGTATGAACCGTGTAGGAATTACAACCATTTCTTCACACAGTCCCCCGACTTTAAGGGCTCATAAGTATTTGGACAAACTAACATAATCATCAATTAAACAGTCAGTTTTAATACTTGGTTGCAAATCCTTTACAGTCAATGACTGCCTGAAGTGTTGGACACATAGGCATCATCAGATGCTGGGTTTCTTCCCTGGTGATGCTCTGCCAGCCCTTTACTGCAGCCGTCTGCACTTCCTGCTTGTGTTTTGGGTGTTTTGCCCTCAGTTTTGGCTTCAGCAAGAGAAACGCATGCTCAGTTGGATTCAGGTCAGATGATATGACTTGGCCATTGCAGAACATTCCACTTCTTTGCCTTAAAAATGTCTTTGGTTGCTTTTGCAGTATGCTTCAGGTCAATGTCCATCTGCACTGTGAAGCATCGTCCAATGAGTTTTGAAGCATTTGGTTGAATCTGAGCAGATAATGGTGCCCCAAACACTTCAGCTTTCATCCTGCTGCTCTTGTCAGCAGTCACATCATCAATAAATACAAGAGAACCAGTTCCACTGGCAGCCATACATGGCCATGACATAACAGTACCTCCACCATGCTTCACTGATGAGGTGGTGTGCTTTGGATCATGAGCAGTTCCTTCCCTTCTTCCTTCTCTTGTCTTCCCATCATTCTGGTAGTTGATCTTTGTTTTATCTGTCCATAGTATGCTGTTCCACAACTGTACAGGCTTTTTAGATGGTTTTTGACAAACTCTAATCTGGCCTTCCATTTTTAAGGCTAACCAATGGTTTGCATCTTGTGATAAACCCTCTGTATTTATTCTAGTGAAGTCTTGTCTTGCTTACAAGAGCAGCAGGATGAAAGCTGAAGTGTTTGGGGCACCATTATCTGCTCAGATTCAACCAAATGCTTCAAAACTCATTGGACGATGCTTCACAGTGCAGATGGACATTGACCTGAAGCATACTGCAAAAGCAACCAAAGACATTTTTAAGGCAAAGAAGTGGAATGTTCTGCAATGGCCAAGTCATATCATCTGACCTGAATCCAACTGAGCATGCGTTTCTCTTGCTGAAGCCAAAACTGAGGGCAAAACACCCAAAACACAAGCAGGAAGTGCAGACGGCTGCAGTAAAGGGCTGGCAGAGCATCACCAGGGAAGAAACCCAGCATCTGATGATGCCTATGTGTCCAACACTTCAGGCAGTCATTGACTGTAAAGGATTTGCAACCAAGTATTAAAACTGACTGTTTAATTGATGATTATGTTAGTTTGTCCAAATACTTATGAGCCCTTAAAGTCGGGGGACTGTGTGAAGAAATGGTTGTAATTCCTACACGGTTCATACTACATTTTTGAAATAAGCCTTAAATGAAAGCTGAGAGTCTGCACTTTAAGCAGGTATTCATTGTTTCATTTAAAACCCATTGTGGTGGTGTACAGAGCCAAAATGATGACAACTGTATCATTGTCCAAATAATTACGGACCTGACTGTATGTATTCTTATATTTAACCATTAAAGTTGATTCTGATTATTGAGGTTCCTAATTCTACTAATTTCCCTGACATGAAAAGGAAGTTTAAACTTAGACCACTCGACCACCAGTGTGGAAGTAAGAAAACATTTTAAAAAGATGTTAAAATTGAGCACAGTTTACTCTATAAGGTTCAACACTGTCCCAAAGAATAGTGTGATCATTAGAAGGGCCATTTAAAATTATCAATCACAAATTTCAGTGATTAAATAGGATCTTAAATGCCACTGAAACGTGTGTCACTTTGCACCGTGCATTATGAACACTGTACATTATCCTAGGGCGAGGCAATAGATATTATTATATTATCTATATTATTATAGATATTATATCTTTATTGAGATATGAAGCTATATATCGCCTTAGATTTTAGATATCGTTGTAACATGTGTTTTCTCTTTGTTTTAAAGGGTTAATTACAGTAAAGTAGAGTAAATTTATCAACTTACCAGACTTTTTATTTGTTTTAACGCTTGCCTTAACTCACTCAGTCAGTATCCACATTGTTGATGGTTAAAAAAACTCATTGTGTTAATACTGAAGAAAAATTGAAGTTAAAATTCAGTCAGCCTGGACACTAACTTTTTGAAGTTGAAACAAATACTTTCTTTTTACAGTGAAGTTTTCTGACTCAGTGAAGCTGAAGGGCTGAAAATGTTTCACTGTTTGATAATATTTAGCGAAATAATAAAAATTATTTCAGATGAAACTCGACTTCATCATTAAATGTTTGACCTCAGTCAACTTGTTAGTCAGTGAACGCATCGTTCCTCCTCCTCCTCCTCCTCCTCCTCCTCCTCTTCATCTCTTTTCAACTTGAACTTGGTTGAGGTGACTTTCCCAGGCTCCCCCTCCTCTGCCCTCCTCCCCCCCGACACATCGTTCAGACGACGATGTCACCGCCGACCCCCAACCTCCACCTCCGCCCCGTCCTCCATCTTGTTCTGGTCCCAGCTGGTCTTTCAGATGAAGCTGTGGGAGGAGAATCGAGACGAGGGACGGCAGCAGGACTCACCGTGACGTCTGGACCCTCTGTCCCTAAATAGCCTCCCCCACCCTCTCCATCCTCTATAGTATGAATGACAACAATAATGACAACAAAAGTGTGAAGCCAGACACAACAGCCCCCCCCTCAAATCCTTCAAATCCCAAAAACACCACAAACACTCTGAAGACTCTCCGTCCTGCAGCTGCTCGACTTCAGCTTCACTCTACAAACATCCTTCATCATATTCATGTTTGTCCCACTTGTTCTGTTCTAATAAAGTTTTCATACTATTTTATATTTTGCAACTTTGTCCTGGTTCAGCTCGACTCTTTGTCAAGTTCAAGTTCAACTTCATGTTGTCTCTGGAGGAACAAAGACATCTACACAAAGAGTTCCTGAACCAAACTCTGATTGTTCCAGTTTCATGTCTCTAAATGCGGCGATTTTGGTTTTTGAGAAAACTGAAGTTGGTTAAAAGTTCGTCAGCTGAATAAACCGATTAAAAACTATGTTGGTTTATCTGAAAATTAACCATCACAAAGCTAAACAGCTGCTTGTCTGGGCTCAGGAGAAACTTTGTTTCTGGGTTTCTCCTCAAAATCCTCCTGACTGCTGAAGTCAGTAAATGAAACACCAGAATATCAGCCAGCACTGGGCCACAACTGGGCCGACTGCTGCAAACTGGAGAGGCCTCTCAGTCAAGTCTAAAACTGAACTAAACCTAGCAGCTGTTTCCACAATTGACCCGACTGTGATGTCACCTCTTACAGAACAGATTCTCAAAAAATGTTTTGGTCCAAATGCACCCTGAGCTCACACTTCACTGCTGGACAAGTATCACTCTGACCCACAGCAGTCTGACTCCAGGTGCTGACACTGGGCCACAACTGGGCCCAATTGGAGTGGCCTCTTGGTCAAGTCCAAAACCGAACCAAACCTAAAGCTGTTTCTGTGCCAGAGTCACGTCTATGTTGCTCTCCAGTGCCAGAACTCAGCCGACTGTGCCGACACTCAGCCACAATCAGATTCTCAAAAAAAGCCAAAACATTTTGGGCCAAAAAGTTTCCTGAACTCAGTGACACGTCACCGCTGGACCAGAATCATACTAACCCACAGCAGTCTGACTCCAGTGGCCGACTCTGGGCCACAACTGGGCCAACCGCTGCAGACTGGAGCGGCCTCTCAGTTAAGTCCAAAACTGGAAACCTGGCAGCTGTTTCTGGGCCAGGGCCACATCAATGTTGCTCTATGGTGCTAGAATTCAGCCAACTGTGCCGACACTCAGCCAACTGTGCCAATGTTCAACCACAATTGGCCTGACTGTGACGACCCCTCTTACAGAACAGATTATCCAAAAAGTCATAATGTTTTGGCCAAAAGTGTCGTGAACTCTGGACCAGAATCATCCCAACTCACAGCAGTCTGACTCCGGGTGCTGACTCTGGGCCACAACTGGTCCGACTGCAGCTAACTGATGCTGAGAACTTTAGACCAAGTCCAAGCTGGTCCAGATGTGGAGGCCAGATCACATTTAGTTCTCCAGAGCTGAAACTTAATGACAGTTACCTCTACTTCAGAGTTTGAACATGTTTTATTCTCCAGACTGCCGGAGCTCAGCCAGAACTGAGCCGACACTCAAACGTCTCGTTCAGATTTCACTCTGTTTGGTTTCCAACTAGCAATAATCATGTCTTGGATAAACCTCACAGGCTGTGGCACTGCTGCTGCTCAAAGCAGTTGGGTGATTTGGGGACTTTTTGTGTCTCTATGACACAAGGACAGACATGAGGACATCATGTCTCAGTCCGTCTGATCAGCTGATGATGAATCATTCAGCTTCCTGTGTGAACTAAACTCCGCCGTGTCCCCGACTGCATGTTCAGGATTAAATGCAGCCGCCTCCCATCTGGGTCCTCATTATACCAAATGGGGGGAGTCGTCATTTAAAACACTGGAGCAGACAGTCCACCCCCTCCCCACCCTGATCTGACCTCCAAATCCCCTAAAATCCCCCTCGGCCTCTGCATACGGTGACCTCGGCCCCTGCAGGTCATGAGAGTCTCAGTTCAGGTCTGAAGCTCCGTTCGCCCCCTCCTCCTCTTTCTGTCTGTCGTATTGTCGCACGCCTGACCGTGAACTTCACGGTTTTCACCCACGACACCCCCCATCAGACAATGTATCGTTTATCACAAACACTGTGTGATTCTGATGACGCACACACACGATGAGGATGATGATGAAGGCTCAGACGTGACACACACACACACACTTAGCAGGACAGATGTCTCTCTGCTAGTTTTAATTGTCTAATTGGAGCCAATTAAGAAGCTGCTGAGTCACTTCCTGTTAAAACAGCTGATTAACAAGCAGCTTATTCATCAGCAATCATAATTAGGACACAGACTTCAGGCACAACATCATGAAATGAACCACAGAGTGTGTGAAACCTCAGTGTGAGATCAAACTCAAGACGTCACTTCAGCTTCCCTCACAATTAAAACTCTATTAAACACAAGAACTAGAAAACAAGAACGAGTCTCGTCACGGCTTCATTCTGAAGTTTCTGCTGCTGTAACTCTTCACACATTCAGCTGCTTTGAGTCGTTTTACTCTACAGAAAACATCCTGACTTCATCTCACAGGATCGTTTCTGTTCACATACAAACTTTTTCATGTGGAGTAAAATCACAGTCTTGATTTTTAGACTGGAGCGGCCTCCAATGTTTAATTTGTCTTGTGAAAATGTTCTGAGAATATCTGCGGACTCTGTGCCTTAAAATCGATCTGATCTGCTGATATGATGAGGTTGATTTTTCACTGCTGCCTCAGCAAGAAGTAACTTTAATAACACTTTCCTGAGGGATATTTTGGCGTCAGTAACCTCCAGATTTTGTTGAATATGTACACAGTTGAACAACAGAAAAAAAGTTTTGTCTTTGACTTTGTCCTAACGGTCTTTTCTTAAAACCAGTAAAAGAGTCACGACTGACAACACGTCAGATTGTTGGAAACCACAAAAGAAGACAAACTTCTGCAGGATAATCCAGAATCATTCAATGGATTCAATAAACTGTGTTTTTCTGGTTAAACTTTTAGAGTTCAACAAGAATCAGATGAAACTCAGCAGCAGGGAACTCTGGGTAATGTCGCTGCTAACACATTAGCTCACTGATAGCATCCAGACTGTCACGCATGAGTTCAGTTTGTTAAATAAAGTTAATTGAAGGAGCTGAAGCTGCTTCGTGTTCTTTAGGAACATTTTTAAGAACCCTTCAGAAGCTCACTGTCATCCTGCTATACTCGTGAGGACTCACAGCCTGAACACAGTGTGCATTAAACCCTCAGTCAGGTCTGTGAAGGCGAGAGAAGCAGACAAAGCCTGAGGGTTAAAGGGTTAATACAGTCATTTTTAATTCAACTTCAGCTCTAAATGTTTATATTATTTCATTTTTTCAAGTTCGAGCTGCAGAACAGAAATTAAGTTATCAATTATAATGAGACTGTTAATGTTTTAATGCCTGTAAATTGTGAAACTCACTGAATGACGGCTCTCTAGGAAATTAAAGACCGAATGCTATAAACTTAGATTGTACATTTTTACATTATTTTATCCCTGGTGTTTCATTTATCTGGTTCGATTGACTTTTAGGTACAGATTTTTAAAATTTTATTGGTTTATTTATTTTATTTTTTGCTGTTTAATGCACTTTGAGCTGTTTGTAAAGTTGCTATATAAATAAATAAAGTTAAAGTTATTAATTCATCATAATTGAAACTGACTGGTCCTCACAGGAGCGAGAGATTGACACATTAGAGGACACACACAAACACAGTGAAGTGACTTCTCTTTGTGAGTTCATCCCAGCTCAAGTTCAAGAGCAACACACACACACACACACACACACACACACAGTCTGACCGTCTGTATGAAAATGAGGCTGATGAATATTCACAGAGACCGTCTGTCCACTTCTTCATCACTCGTTCTCACAACAAAAGCTCATAAAAATCATACAGAAAAACAAATAATAAACAACAGAAGAAGAAAAACATTCAAAGCAGCAGCAGCTTGAAAAAAGGAAATTTTGTGCATAAAAAATTATAATAAATATTAGTTAATAACATGCATAATCCAAATAATTGTTTCACATGTGTATATATCTTTTACAAAATTAATATTGTCTTATTTTTGTTAATAATCTGCATGCTTAGAAATTATTTTAAAACCTTTACATTTTAATCTTTTATCATACATAAATATTGTTTGTATAATATATTATGTATGATATTTTATATTGTCTGCAGGGAGCACAAATGAGAAACTCTGATATAGAAATACATCAGTCTAGTTTGGATATTTTGTGTTTTCTCTTAGTCTGCTCAATAATCAAAGTATTATTATCATTATTATAATAATGTGTAACTTTACATTCAGAGCTGACGCTTCATTCAAAGCTGCAGAGATCTGAAATATTCTGTAAACTCATGTTTAACAATCTACCTGCTTCTTTCCTATAACTGAATAAATGTACATATATAGGCTATATATATATACTTTAATGGATATGTTGAATAAAAGGTAAATATATCAGACCTGAGCAGCAGAGTCCCAGCAGCATCATCATCATCATCATCATCTTCATGTTTGTTCAGTTTAAATCCAAATCATCAGAAACACAAACATCAGCAGCTCCGACACAAAAACAGAAAAATAAAAACTCTTCTTTTTCTTCTTCTTCTTGTTTTGAATCCTCTTTATATAAATGTAGAATATTAAATCCTGGAGGACTGATGATGTGAAGCTGCTGCAGTCCTGAAGATCTGATTCAAACTGACCTCACAGCGGCGGACAGCAGAGGGCGGAGCCTCTGGCAGGAGGGGGAGGGGCCAGAGAGAGGGCAGGGGGAGCACTGACCCTGAGGTCAGGTGAGGAGAGGAGGGGGAGGAGGAGGGGGAGGTCACAGCTGAGGAGCTGCTGGATTATAATGAACAGAGAGGATGAAGAAGAGATGATGGAAACATGGAGGAGAGAAATGATGAAGGAGGATTTTATTTTATTATATTTTACTATATTATTTAAGTCTATACTATACCAATAATATAACAATATACTAAACTGTACTAAAATTATATTATATTTTACCACATGATATTAAATTATTATATTGTATATTTTATGTATTATATTACATTATATTATTTCCTATTATATTATATTAAATCATATTAAATTAAATTAAATCATATTATAATAAACTACAATATTTTGCACCACATTAAATTATATTATTTTGTATTTTATTTTATTATATTTCACAATATTATATTTGTCTATACTATACCAATATTATAATTATTTACTATACTGAAATTATAGTTTATTTTATCACATGATATTAAATTATTATATTATATATTTTATTATGTTATATTATTTTATATTATTTTATGTCATATTATATTATATTTTATTATATATTATATTATTTATTATTATATCATATTATATTTTACTATTTTATATTATGCTACAATATTTTATGCCACATTACATTTTCTCATTTTGTATTTTATTTTATTATATTTTACTGTAAAGCCAAATCAAAGGCCCCCATCCTGTCCAAAGACATCTTCTTCCCGTCATAAGGTCCTGAAAGATGCTGTGATGAGACGCTCTCGAAGTTTTCCCACTGCTGCTCCCTCACTGCCTGCAGGGAAGGAAAACTGGATTTGGTACTTTAAATCCTTTAAAGTCAAGAAAAGTAACCTTTTTTTTTTTTTTTACTTCAAGTGTAATGTACGCTGCATTTTTAAGGTGGTTTACACATTAAGAAGAAACAAAACCTCAAAATTCTGATTGCTTCATTTTTTTAATTACTTTTATTACATTTACTTGTACTTTTACTTTAAATAATTAAATTCACTATTATAAAAATAATCTTGATTGAATCACAGTAAATATCAGACTTTTACTCAGTAATATTCTAAGGTGACTTTAACTTCTACCAAAGTTATTTTCTGGTAAAATATCAGTACTTTTACTCGAGTATAGCTTCAGGTACTTCATCCACCGCTGTCTACGAGTACTTAGAGTTAGTACTTAAGTAAATTAATTTAAACCATGAAGGATGAACATGATGAAACTGATCTCTGGAGACTGTTCTTGTTATTTTGGCCACATACAAACTCCAGACAGCGGGTGGCGGTAAAGAGCCACAGCTAAACACCACAGAAGAAGAACTGGAGCAGCAGCAGCAGCAGCAGAAGAAGAAGAGGAAGAAGATGGCGCGGTGTTGGATGTAAACAAAGATGTTGTAGACTGACTTTAACCGTTTGATGAAGAAGAAGGTTTAACATCGGAAAAATAAAGAGTCAGACTAAAGGTTTGTTTCTACCGGCAGCGCGATGCTAACGCAGCTAGCTTAACCGGCTAATTTATTTCGCTCCATCAGTTATTCAACTGTAGTGATACAGACTGAAGCCACACACAGCTCAGGGTGAACACAGTCACCACTGGAGGAGATCAAATATTTAATGTTTGATATTTAATCATATTACAACACAGCAGAAAGGGGGCCAGCTCGATTTCTGTAACAGCACCGAGAGAGGCTGTTGCTGAGGAGCACTGCTGTTTCCAACCAACAGGTAAAATGGCGCTAAATATGTACAGTTAAAGTAAACGACTTACCGACTTACTGTGTTGTAACCGAGTCCATCTCATGGCAGCAGGAGCTCTCTGGGGTCACAGTTATTGTTCTGCTCCTTGTTCACCTCCAGTCCCCACATTAGTTTCTCCTCCTCGTCTCTCCTGGTCCGTCTCCCTCCGTAAACGTCCCTCCTTTGGTTCCTTCTGTCTCCACAGTGAGCTGCATGTCGTCGCTGTCATAATCATTTTGTTTTTTGTTGTCTATTCCTCAAACTGTTAATAGCCTGACCCCAGCAGGTGACCCCAGGTGATACAGTGCACGTCACAGCTGCTCTTATGCGTAGGAATACCTGAGTTTTTAGGTTTAGAAGATGTAGTGCCAAAGCAAAGGGCTGTCTGATGGCAAAATAAAGCACTGAAATATTCTCAATAAAGCGTCCGCTTAAACTGGTGTTGATTTTTTTAAGGCAGGCTTTTAAAATGGCAAAAATACGTTTTGCTGCTGACCCCATCCACGCCAGTACAATGCTAAAGCAGGATTTATATCTCTGCCTCCAATCAACACTGTACCTCCTGTCTGATTTTGTAAGCTGAAATCCATCTCTCTCAGAGGAAAAGAAGCTTTTATTTACTTTTATTTCACAGATAAGAAACAAATTGTGAAGACAATAAAGCCTCCACTAAATAACATTTTAAGTCTTGTGAGTGATTTATCCTGGCTTCATATGAGCAAAGGAAATCCCTGCTAGTTGCCAGGCTAATTAACACAATGTAAAATGCCATAGGCTTGTGGTAATTGTGTGATCAATCTTGTTGGGGCAGCTGTGGCTCAGAGGTAAAGCTGGTTGTCCACCAATCAGAAGATCAGTGGTTCAATCCCCAGCTCCTCCAGTCCACATATGGAAGCTTAGGGTTATTAAGATACTGAACCCCAAATTGCTCCTTATGGCTGTGTGAGAGCATGTGAATGGTCACTGAGTGGCAGGTGGCACCATGCATGGTAGTCTCAGCCACCGGTGTGTGAATGTGTGATTATGACGTAGTGTAGAAGCGCCTTGAGTGGTTGGAAGACTCAAAAGGCACAATACAAGTCCAGTCCATTTATTTGTAGGGAAAATCTGTCCAGCAAAAGACAAAAGTTTCTATGTGAATGCTGCGAGTTATAATGAAGCTGATATGTGTACCTGTGATTGAGATTTTTGCTATTAAATCTTGTTTAATGTGAGTTTTAAAACAGCTACACTTCACAGCTCTTCACACAAACCCCACCACTGACTAGTGTTTTGGAGGTGTAGCTGCAGAGTGACACAGACACACCACTGCACAAGTACAAATGCTCACAATGGCGAAGACCACATGCGCAGTCCATGTGTGTAGGCTCTGCATAGAGCTGACACACAAGTATTAATCAGCCTTTATACCTCTGCGTTGATTCCATACTCAAACCACAACTTGACAGCCTGACATGACTCTCCCCTGAAATGTCAGTATGTGTACACATTGCTGCGATGGACACCAGTTTATTTTTATAAGCCGAAAACCATTTCCCTCAGTGGAATTAAACTTTTATTACTTTTATTTCACAGATATAATAATATAAATTGTGAAGACGATAAAGCCTCCACAAAATAACATCTTATTCTGGCTTCATATGAGAGGAGGAAAAGTTAAAATGTTCCACTCACTGTTTTATTTATTTCTGTCTTTGTTTAGTCAGATTCACCTCCAACCAGCTGCTGCTCCACCCGATCCACTGTGAAGACCTGGCCCAGACCAGTCCAGTCTGACCTGCTCTGACCTGGTCCAGGTGGTGATGGCGGGTCGAGGTGGTGGGCGAGGTCGGAGGATGATGACCTTCAGCGTGGAAGCAGTCGGCATCAACAGAGGAGACAGTTTACCTCCATCCATCCAACAGCCTACACCTCTGTTTCCTGTGAGACGCACACTGTGACACACACACAAACTATATATCATTCAGTGTATCTAAAGGCCAAAACACATGGCAGCTGAACGCCACACGTCACCTGTTATTTTCTTTATACAACCCTGACACTGGCAGCAGCTGGAGTTCACTTCACACCACTGTTCTATCTCTAGCTTCACCGCCCCATGGATGTACAGAGAGAACTGGATACAGCGTTGAAGGCGGGGCTTGTTCGTTCCTGTATAAGTTGCCTAGTGGCGCATGAAGCTAAAAACATTCCACTGACAGGGCAAAAACCGAATCTTTCACATCGATGGGCCCACAGAGCCAGCACACTGAAGACTTTGCCAGCCAAGCAGCTAACTTCTGTCAGCTGAGCAGACTACTTCCAGTTCAGGAAGTGTGTGGATAAAATGATTTAATCCTGTAGTTCTTACAGACTTTTAAAATGTTATTGGACCAAATGGATCAAAATTTGTGACACTCAAAAAAATGTATCCACTGATCCACAGACGTCTCTATGGCCATGTAAGTCTATGGGAAAAGGTCTTTTTGGACCCCGTGGCATCACACAGTTTGGCCACTATGTCAAATTAGTGTCTGGTTCAATTTCTGGGTGTTTGCATCACCCCTGAAAAAATTGAAAATGTTTCCCCTCTCTCGCCGTGCTTGTAAATCCCAGCTCCTGTACCAGCTCTTCTTCTCTGGACTCTGGACAGGACTCGTGTCTCTGACTTACAGCCAGCAATGTTACTTACTTACCTCTGATGTTTCTGACAGCAGTGCACTCTGGGATGTGTAGTTGACTCTGTGTGTTTGTGTGCAGGTGATGGAGCAGAAGCCCCTCCCCCTCATAGCTGGAGAGGAGGCGGAGTATCTGTTAGCTCTCAAACAGGAGTTCAGAGGAGCCATGAAGAGTCTGCCCTGCTTCATACAGCCAGCTGCTGCACAGAGAGGTCAGAGGTCACCACACACACACGGGCACAGCAGGTCCTGGATCAGCTGATCGATCAACAAACAATCAGTCGACTGTTAGATTAATTGTGAAAGTGTTCTTCCTGTGTGTTTCCAGATGTGGAGAGGTACTCTGATAAATATCACAGCAGCGAGCAGACGGACGCACTGACGGACTGGAGTCCTGGTCAGTTATCAGTAATCATATGAATCATCTTTATCTCTGTTATCAATAATAAAGACTGTATTTTATATATATGTTATTATAATATAAATAAACTTTATATCCTGAGACAGTTTGTTGATGTTTCAGACTGGAAAAGATTCCCTAAAGAACTCAGAGTGAAGAAACCTTCCAAAGACGGTATGTACACACACACTCACACACAGTGCTCTGAATCAGTGATTGATGGGTGTATTGATGTCCTGCTCTGTGTCTGTCAGGTGTCTCAGCAGCTGTCAGTCGCTCTGACCGACCGCAGTCAGGTCAGAAGAAGAAAAAAGTGAAAGAGAAAGAAGAAGTGCTGCTCAAACTGGAGGTGAGACACACACACACCTGCTGACCTCCGTCCTCCAAACAATCAATCAATCAATCAGTTTATTGATCCTGTAAATCTCTTAGTGAGAGTCAGAAACACTTTGGATCAAGAGCGTTTCCACTTTAAATAAACATTTCCACCTTAATCTGTTTCCTGTGTCAGACTCTGCAGAAGAAGGAGGAGCAGCAGAGCTCGGAGGAGGAGGAAGAGGAGGAGGAGGGAGAGGAGAAGAAGAAGAAACAGGAGGAAGAGGAGGCAGAGGGAGAGGAGGAGTATGATGAGGAAGAGTTTGAGGAGGTGAGATATTTTAACGTGGATCAACTCAGATGTCCACCTTAACAAACTGAATTAACTCAGAAGTCCACCTTAACAATATGAGTCCAATCACAGGTCCACCTTAACAGTCTTAATCAACTCATGAATCCACCTTAACAATCTGGATCAACTCAAACATCCACCTTAACAATCTGAATTAACTCAGATGTCCACCTTAACAATATGAGTCCAGTCACAGGTCCACCTTAACAGTCTTAATCAACTCATAGGTCCACCTTAACAATCAGAATTAACTCAGACGTCCACCTTAACAATATGAGTCCAATCATAGGTCCACCTTAACAGTCTTAATCAACTCATGAGTCCACCTTAACAATCAGAATTAACTCAAATGTCCACTTTAACAATCTGAGTTCATACATTCACCTTAATAAATGACCAATATAAACGTTTATTAAGACAAATATTAGGATCAATATTAATTACATTATATTAATTATACTATGGCCTTTTTTAAATGACATTTTCTTAAGATATAAGAAAGGATCTTAAAAGGTATTCAGTTTAACTCAGGACTTCTATGTATACCCTTTATATTATAATTATTTATATTAATGTTTTTAAATAAGATTATTAATATGTGATAAGTGTGTTGCATAAATTTTTCCCTGTTTCCTGTCTGCAGGAGACGGATTACGTCATGTCGTACTTTGATAACGGAGAGGAGTTCGGAGGAGACAGTGACGACAACATGGACGAGGCTATTTACTGAAACACTGAACATGCACTGACACACAAAACACACTCACAACACATATACACACACTGAACACACACACACACTCATCAGATTTTATCAGACAGCATTTTGTCACTTTTTACAGCAGAAAGAAAAAACGTCCAGCAACAGTTTTATAAACAGATCGGACCCAAAGAACGAGTGAATGAGTGAATGATTTAATGGTTGAAAGAATGAACGTCAGCTGAAGACGACCCGTCAGGATTTATTCGTCCGTAGATTTGAAGTTTCTGTAGAAACTGAGTTCACTGAAGTTTTTTAAGATTTTGTATCAAAGTTTTATCTGTTTTATCTTTGTTGTGTAAAAAAAGTGAATTTTTTCTGTTTGTTTGTTTGTTTGAAAATAAACTGATAAACAGCTACGTGAAGAGTCAAAGAAGTGTTTATGACATAACATTATATTAAAACATGTATTATTACAATGTATTAAAGGAGCAGTCTGTAGAAATTCAGGGGATCTGTTGGCAGAAATCGAATATATTCATAACGTTTTCATTGGCGTTTGTTTTGTTACGTAGATGCCTCATTGACTGTTAGCCTGTCAATGTTGCCATTATTATTTTTTTTTTTAAAAGACACAACTTGCCTGTAAACAAATGCAACTAACGGCAGCTGTGTTTTTCTAAATAAAAAGCTCTATCGTTTTTCTAGACATTCCTAAATAATGCAGTTGAATGTGGAAGTTGACAACTTTTCAAATAGCGCTAGCTAGCTAACGCTGTTTGCTTATTTTTAACTCCGTCATCATAAATAGATTAATGTAAATTTTACCACTGTTCATTTTAGAAAGGCCACCACAAGAAAACATGTTTGTCTAGATTATCAAATTGGCAATGGATCATTTGTTTGTTGTTTATTTCTGGCTGTCAGCGATAGCTAGCATACTAACACTCAAATGCTAACAAGCGTTCATTTTCAAGAACCGTGCCTGGTGGCAGACAGAAACCAATCTAAACACACATTAAGTTATATTACATAAACTAACAACATGTTTTCTTGTGGTGTCCTTTCTAAAATGAGCAGGGGTGAAAATTACTATATTACTGTAATCAGACAGCGTTAGCTAGCTAGCCATTAATTATGTTAAATTCTATGAAAATAAGCAGAATCCATGCTTGACAAAAGTTTTTACGATTCCTAATGACAATGTTATTTTCCACCATGTAAGTAATGAAGTTCATGTAAGGCTAACACATTCCTATACTGAGCGTCCAGCAGCGATTATAGCCTAAATATCAAGACTTTGATATAACTTTTTACATGTAGATCACAAACCCTGGAATATAAAAACCTCTCAGTGAAACTGGCTGATAAACATGAATGTAATAGTTGTTGTTTTTTGTTTTTTTTTAAATCTAGCCTGTGGAGGAAGTACTCAGATCCTTGAATGTTCAGTGGTATTACTGCCACTCCCTTAAAAATATTCAGGTTATGGAATGAGGTCTGTAATGACCTCTGCAGCCTGCAGGGGGCGCTGGTGGACTGACTTATTACTTTCTATCATTAGTGAGAACAGAATCTGTTTCACTGTAAAACCTGTTTGTTCACAGTGAAGTAATAAACTTATCCATCTGTCTCAGTGTGTGCGTTTCAGTGTGTGTCTCAGTGTGTGTCTCAGGGTGTCTCCGTGTGTCTCAGGTTCTTCCAGGAAGTCCTGGAAGCTGATCTGAGGTCATCTTCCCGCTGACTGAATCAAATCACACCTCTATCTTTACACTTCAGAAACCTATTTCCTGTTTTGAGACCTTTTTTCCTGACAACAAGCCCAGAGCTGACACCATTAATGAACTTGCTCATTATCCGCTTTGCTTTGATTCACTGGTGGTGTGTTCACTGTCACTGGTTAAAATGAACGCTGACCTGCAGCATGCTGTGACCTTTGACCTCCTGTCTGTCTGCAGCAACAACGTTAGCATTAGCTGGCTGCTTCTAAAAGTAGAGACAGAAAGAGGAACCTGAGCGCTCAATCACTCTCTGAGTGAGTGACTTCCACGCCTCGACCAATCACGCGCATCCTGGGATTAGCTGTCGACCAATGGGAGTGAAGACAGGCTGCTGGTCATGCAGGCGGAGGACTGCAGCTCCAAAAAACAGAACAGAAGAAGTGTGTCAGGGGTGAACAGCAGCTGTGACATGATGACAGTGAGTTTGCACAATGTGCTTCTGTCATTAGTTTAAATGTGTAAGATCTACACTAAATATTTAAATACACACATGTACATGTACACGTACATATGTACCTGTACAGTTCTCATGTATATCTCAGAGGTCAGAGGTCAGACTGAAGAGTCTCTGATGTGAACAGCTGCAGTTGAAGTAAACAACAGAGTCAGATTACAAACACACACACACACACACACACACACACACACACACACACACTGCATTGATTTTCAGTAATTCCTTGAGGACTTTCCTGAACCTGAATTTTAGAAACCAAGTTTAAAGAACAAAGTGACAACCATCAAAATGTCCTTGCCTTTTAAAAACTTTCCAAAAATGTTTATACTTTGTCAGATGTTGTCTTTTTTTCCAAAAACATCTTTAATTTTCTTTTTTTTATCTTTACAGTGAAGTCATCCTACTGAAACATCGTCCCTTTAAAAGTCTTCACTCACTAAAACAGTAGTTTCCTAAAACTGTTGTCAGTCCAACATCAGCCTGATATCTGACCTCTTACCCACTAACATACCAGTTCAGTTTATAGACACACTCATTTTTACACATCAGACCAGGAGGATCCTGAAACTGTCTTTGCCTGGAGGCCACTTCTGCAAAATGAGGAGGCAACGGGCCTAATAATAATTCACCCATGTTCATCCAGGAAAAATGTTTCTAAATCAGTTGCTGATGCCGAGATACCTTGAATTCATGTATAAAACTTATTTTTTTTGCTTGCCTGCACAGAGAGAGGTCTGGAGTAAGCCCTGAATGTCCTCAAATTCTAGAAACACCCCTGTTTACACCTGACCTGGGCGGGGCTGCTGCGACTGAATTGGCGAAGATGAGTGAGGACAGGTTGAAAACAGCAAACATACTGTATTATTGATTGATTGGAGACCGCATGCAACAACGGTAAAGCTATATCGAAACATCCATTTACAAACTCTCACTTAACTCACGTAGTATAATCGAAGTCTTAGAAGCCAGTTAAAAGTCTTGGACATTGGTTCGGCACATCCCTCAAAGATGCCGATCAAGTGGACCAGCTTAGGAAGGATACCATCAGTGTTGTGGAGCGTATCAACAAGTCCTTGCTCCCTGGCAGGTTGAAGCTCTGGTGCCTTCAATTCGGGCTCCTACCCAGGCGAATGTGGCCATTGACCATCTTCGAGGTCCCAATCTCTAAGGTTGACAGACTGGAGAGACTGATCAGCTCATTTACCAAAAAGTGGCTAGGTCTCCCCAGGTGCATTACCAAGACAGGGCAGTATGGAAAAGGCCTGCGAGAGCTCCCAATGTCCAGTCATGTAAAGAGTACAAATGCTTCAAAGTCAGATTGGAAATGACACTGACCAATATGTGGCCCAAACAGTGGACCCCATCTGCAGCTCTGCAATAGGCAGGGTCATCCCTTAAAACACCAGGACATTGTTGGACATGTGCAACAAGGACGAGGAGGCTCTGGCCTTGGAAGGAGCAGACCACCCTGGCACAAGGCAACCCCATCTCAGCCTTGAGGTCTTTTGGTCAAGGAGGTACGCCAACAAGAGCAGGCAATGAGGTGAGCAAAGGCCGTCTCTCAAGCACAACAAGGACAGTGGATGAGATAGGAGAGAGCTGAGAAGAGAAAGTTGTGGGACATGGAAGCATCTCAAACTAGCTTAATTAATAATACGAGCCACCTACAATGTCCTGCCATTCCTGAGGAACCTCAGCCAATGGTATGGCCAAGACCCTACGTGGCCACTCTGTCCATCTCAAGCAAACCTGACACATAATCTGATTGGCTGCAAGACAAGCCTGACACAAAGTTATTATGCCTGGTGGCAAAATTAGGTGCTAAAGTGTCTAGCTGCTACGCTGCAGACCAGATAGACATCTATCAATGCCCTACCTCCTCTGTCATTCCATCCTACAATTACAAGAGGGTTTGTCTGCAAAGGTGTGAAGCAATTTAGGACCTGTACAGTAAAATCAGACACCAGCCAACTGGGAGGGGAATGAGACTGGAGATAACTGGCTGATCTGAATCAGCCTCTATGCTTCCCATCTGAGATAGCCTCTACTAACCTCAGACCAGACCTCATGCTTTGGTCCTCATCACTGCACTGAGGATGATGTGGAGGAGGCCTACAAGCACAAGAGCCTTAAGTACGCTGAGCAACGTGGCTGAAAAGCAAAGGTTTGCCCAGTTGAAGTAGGCTACAGAGGCTTTGTGGGCTTGTCAACTACCAGACTGCTTAAAGAAATGGAAATTCGAGGCCAAGCCCAGTGTCAGGCCATCGAAGCCTTCTCTGGCGCTGCTGGACAAACAAGCGAGTGGATCAAGAGGCGAGGCAACACTTGGACCCCAAAATCCCACTGACAACAGCAGAGTTCAAAGGAGTAAAAGCAGAGGGGGTGCATCTGGGATGCCTGAGCCCTCTGGAGGTGTTGGGGGTCTATCACTGAGCACCAGTGAAGGAGGGTACCCACCTGATGACCCCAATTAAGCTTTGAACAATGTTTATCAGTCAAAGTTAAAGTCCCACCGATTGACCCATCCCCTGAGGGAGCGGTGAGCAGCAGCGGTGCCGCGCTCGGGAATCATGTGGTGATATAACCCCCCAATTCCAACCCCTGATGCTGAGTGCCAAGCAGGAAGACAATGGGTCCCATTTTTATAGTCTTTGGTATGACCCGGCCAGGGATCGAACCCCCTCCCAGTCTCAGGCCAATCAATATACATAATAAATGAATCGCCTGTTTTTAACCTTTAGACGGCTGCTGTCCTCACTCATCTTAGTAGTTGCAGTTGCAGTTCAGTGGGCCACCTGGCACCCTATTGCAGTTCTGAGTTGGCTCACAGGCCATAAGTTGAATGTCACTGCAGTAGACTGATACTCTGTACATGATGATGTAGGAGTTTCATAAAGATTCTGGCAGGATTTATTTACAGGGTCATTATATGACCTACCTACCTACCTACTTACCAATCTATCTATGTATCTATCTACTGACCGATCGACCTACCTACCTACCTCTATACCTATCTACCTTTGTACCTATCTATCTATCTACCTATCTACCTACCTACCTACCTACTTACTTACAGATCTATATATTTCAATTGTAGCTATCTATGTATCTATCTACCTAACTATATACCTGTCTATCTGTCTATCTATCTATCTATCTATCTATCTATCTATCTGTAGACCGACCAACCGACCTACCTACCTACCTACCTATATACCTATCTATCTATCTATCTATCTATCGATCTATCTGCAGACCAACTAACCTGCCTACCTATCTACTTACCTATCTGCACCAATCAAAAATTGAAATGCAACACTTTAAGTTAAAGATCTAAGACTTTTATGCAAGGATTTTTAGGATTTCACGACTCCTTGCATCTAAAGAATCCGTCAGTATCTGTTGAGATACTGTTTGCTTCATGCAGTGTGACACATCTCCTCCACATAGAGTTGACCTGTGGTATATCCTCTCCTTTTCGATGGCTACGTGAAGCTGCTGGATATTGGCATGAGCTGGAGTAAGCTGTCGTACATGCTGATCCATAGCATCCCAAACATATTTAGTGGGTGACATGTCTCAGTGGGGGACATGTCTCAGTAGATGAGTGTGCAGGCCGTTCAAGAACTGAGATGCTTTCAGTTTACAGGAACTGTGGACAGTTCCTTGCAACATAGGGATGAGCAGTATCATTCTGCAACATGAGGTCATGGCAGCGGATGATGATGGGTCTCAGGATCTCGTAAAGTAAAATGCTCCTGTGCTCGTTGTCTATAGCTTATGCCAGCTCATACCATATCCCCACCACCACCATGGGCCACTCTGTTCACAACGTTGGCATTAGCAAACCATTCACCAGTACAAGACCAAACACACCGTCTGCCATCTACTTGGTACAGTGAAAACTGAGAGTCATTTGTGAAAAAAACACTTCTCCTAGTTGCCAGACACCATCAAAGGTGGGCAGTTGCCAACTCGAGTCAGTTACAAAAAACTGCTGTCAGGTCAAGACCCTGGTGAGGACGATGAGTGTGCAGATGAGCTTCACTGAGACTGTTTCTGACTGTTTGCGCAGAAATTCTTCAATCAGTTGTTGCACAGTTGTTGCATCAGCTGTTCGGGTGGCTGGTTTCAGATGGTCTTGCAGGTGAAGACGTGGGATGTGGAGGTCCTGAGCTGGTGAGGTTACACATGGTCTGCAGTTGGATGTACTGTCAAATTCGGGGAAACGACACTGGAGCCGGCCTTTGGAAGTGAAATTAAAGTTCAGTTCCCGGGCAGCAGCTCTGGTGGACATTCCTGCAGTCAGCATGCCAACGACATGTTCCCTCAAAATGACATCTGTGTCTTAGAGTGGCCTCCACTCTAAGACACAGCAAGAACACCTGTATAGTAATGATG